AGATCTTTATCGGTCAAACCGCATAACAACATACGTTGTTCCCTTTGTCATCGGTATGTTACTTGCCCGAGATTCGATCGTCGGTATCTCAATACCTAGTTCAATCTCGTTACCGGCAAGTCTCTTTACTCGTTCCGTAATACATCATCTTGCAACTAACTTATTAGTTGCATTGCTTGCAAGGCTTAAGTGATGTGTATTATCGAGAGGGCCCAGAGATACCTCTCCGACAATCGGAGCAACAAATCCTAATCTCGAAATACGCCAACCCAACATGTACGTTTGGAGACACCTGTAGAGCACCTTTATAATCACCCAGTTACATTGTGACGTTTGGTAGCACACAAAGTGTTCCTCCGGTAAACGGGAGTTGCATAATCTCATAGTCATAGGAACATGTATAAGTCATGAAGAAAGCAATAGCAACATACTAAACGATCGGGTGCTAAGCTAATGGAATGGGTCATGTCAATCACATCATTCTCCTAATGATGTGATCCCGTTAATCAAATGACAACTCATGTCTATGGTTAGGAAACATAACCATCTTCGATTAACGAGCTAGTCAAGTAGAGGCATACTAGTGACACTTTGTTTGTCTATGTATTCACACAAGTATTACGTTTCCGGTTAATACAATTCTAGCATGAATAATAAACATTTATCATGATATAAGGAAATAAATAATAACTTTATTATTGCCTCTAGGGCATATTTCCTTCAGCGACGACGTGCGTGAGGGAGGAGGACGAGGCCGGTGCTGGTCGTGCGAGATGGAGGAGGTCGAGCGCGAGGGAACGAGAAGAGGTGTGGCGCTCCTCTCTGCCTCACGTCCTGACGGCGCAAGGAGGGGGGAGAGGATCGAGACAAGGGGGAGGAGAGGCTGCAAGTGTTTCAGGCTAGGGTTGGCTGTAGGTGCGGCTAGGCTAAGGGGAGGTTGGGCATAGGTAGGCTAGCTGGGCTAAGGTGGCCTAGTGCTGGGATGCGCTGAAAGTTGGGTCGCTACTCTCTCTCCCTTCTCCCATTTCTTTCCTTTAAACTATTTTTACTAGGCAGTAAAATACCAAGGAAAACCCAGGGAGTTAGGGGAGGGGCATGAGAGATATAAGAATATCCCCAAGACGCTAAAATTATGCACTGTTTGAAATAACTAGTTTGGGCATTTTTAGAGAAAGAAAATTATCGCAAGTTTGAATTAGATTCAAACTTGAGGCAATTTTGATTCCAACCAAATCAAGTCCAAAAGAGCTGAAAATTTGAAAGAGAGGTTGTCGGCAGGGTGTAGGGAATGTAGAAATATAGTGAACATTAATCTAGAGCAGAAAATGCCACTAGAGAAATAGTTGAAAGAAAGGGAAAAGGAGATGTTTGGATGGGATAGAAACTTGGGTGAACTTGATGAATTGTTGATGGTATGTGCATGGAACAAAAAAAATGAGGTGGAGATAAGAATAAGAGGGGTTCGATGCACTGATGCAAGGGGGCTCAGGAGGGGTTGGTTGTGACTGTGTAGAAGCCCGAGGGCTGCGGGAGAGAAGAGAGAGAGAGAGAGACCCGCAACAGTTTTCGGAGACCGAAAACGTCCGACGAAAAGACCGGCTATATCGCCGCTATAGATTACCGGTTGGGCTATCAAACGGACTCTGAATGCGATGAAAACTTGGCAGGCGGCCTACTGACAACAAAACAACACCCTATGCCAACTTTCATCCCATTCCGAGAACATTTTCTGGCCACTTACAAAATAATATCTCGGACATGCCACGGGCGCGTGCAAGTGTGTCTGGGCTCAGAACGGGCAACGGAAAGAACTGGGAAACCCGGACGAATGCAAGTTTTGAAAAACATGATGATGCAATGCACATGATAACATGGCAAGATGCGACATGCAAGCAAAAGACAAGGCAACAACAACGAATAACTGGAAGACACCTGGCGCGTCGGACTCGGGGCGTCACATTAGCATCACTCGAATCTAAGTCCAGTACGCTCCGCCTATTACTCTTGAGATCTGCAAACTCTCTAGACGGTTAGGTGCCAATTTCTTCATAGACCAAGAGTGATTGTGGTTCTTGAAGAAGAATTCTGAAGGTTTGGAGACCGCCTCAAGTATATACCACGAGTAATCGGCATTGGTTGACGAACCATTGTCGAGGAGAATAGGGTGAAGAGAGTTTATCTTCCCTGTTAAGTCACAACCCCTCCAACCAGACGTAGTCCTTGTGCAAAAGGATGAACTGGTCGAATAAATATCCAGTCGCCATCGAGCACCACTGGTTATCTCCTTTACCCGTTTTTATATTCGACATGTTTTCCTTCGTGAGTTCTGTCTTCTTGCATGTTTAGTTTACATTCAGTACTTAGAATTAGCTCGCTGTAGTCTGTTTCATTCGTTCCGCTGCTGGGTTCCGAGATTTTTGAAGAAATTTTAAAACTCCCATTCACCCCCTCTGGTAGACATACTCCGTTTCTACAACCCGTAGGCATGTGATAAACTACTCACACATCATCGGAGGTGCGGCAAGGTTGATGTTGATGCCCTCCGCGATCGACCCCCCCCCTCCGACAAAGTACCGGAAAAGGCCTCCAAATGGGATCGCGGAAGAACAGAAGCTTGCAGCGGCAGAATAATTGTTTCGTGTGTCTCTCTGGTGGTTTTGGGGTTTATGGGAATTTACAGAAGTGGAATTAGGTCAAAGAAGGTACATGAGCCCCACAAGCTCACGTGGTGCCCACCTCGGGGTGTGCCGTGTGAGCTTGTGGCTCTCCCGTACATCTTCTGGCCTCCTCCGAATTTTATAGGGCCCCTTCTGGTCTAGAAAAAATCACCGTAAAGCTTCATCTTGTTTGGACTTCGTTTGATACTGCTTTTCTGCAAAACATTAAAATAGGTAAAAATAGGAATTGACACTAGGCACTGAGTTAATAGGTTAGTTTCAAAAATAATATAAAATTGAATATAAAACATATAAAATTGATAATATAATAGCATGAAACAATAAAAAATTATAGATACATTGAAGACATATCAATATATCAAAGGAAGTTGAAGGCACGAGCGGATTGATAGTAGAGATCGAAGACATTTTGTCTAGGCCAGAATCGATATCACAATAAGCAGTCACACCAGAATGCATAAGACTATGAAAGCTGCAGTACACAACAAGGAAAAAAAACTTAAGTAACAAGTATCGAATGACGTGACTTGACGATCAAGAAATAAACGATTAGTAAACACCTAGTATATTCATCGTTGTGTTAGAAAGAATTGGACAATTGCATGATCAACAAATCATCAGAAAGAACAGATCTACGAATCTAAATCTATGGATCTGTGAAAGAATTCCCTTCAGAAAAAAGCATGTTCCTCACTTGCCGATGCAGAATCGTGTGACGAATGAAGTACAGTAACATCCAAATCTTTTTCACATATGTGAGGCAGAACGGATGGTAAAGAAGAGGTTTCATCTGATGACCCGAGGTCCGCTAATCTGCACGAATATGAGGGCAAGTAGAAAGATAAGACAGGGAATGTCGATTAAGCAGTAAAAGAGGAAATTACTTGTCGAACTATAACTTCAATCCATCAAACTCAGTTCAAAAAGATCTCATATTACTAGTGGAAACAATACACACAGTAGTGAAGCATCGAACAAAACCCTAATTATGTGAACGCCAATGCAGTAGGAAGGATCGGATTCGAGGGTAATTTGAGAGTATAGAAGAATAGTGTGGATGGACAAAAGGAAAAACAGATTAAGAATGCAGAAACAGGAGGAAGCAGATGAACAGAAAGCATACAAAAAGATAGCAAGAACATGATAATACAACAGTATGTATGATGTATCTGTACAACACCTGACATGTATATTAGATTTATTCGCAGGAATTCACAGCACAATCAATCGATACGATACGGGCTGTTTGTTCGGGAACGCAGTTCTTCTCGTCCGTGCGGCTGGAACCCTAGCCGCCATCAGGGAGGCCGATCTTCCAACGCCGTTCTCCGGCGGCTCCCCTCCGCCGACGACCTCGGTCGTCGGTGGTAAGGGGGTCGTCGGATCCATGCGTGTGGATTACTTTTTACTCCCTCGTAGTCTAGGTTTTTAGATTGTTCATTGTTTTTGCTTCGGCGGCAACGATGAGAGCGCTGAATAAAGATTCTTCAGATGCTTTTCCGACGAGGCCATTAGTCCTATGATTGGGGATGGATTTGGAAACTAGTCTGTTCAAGCAAGGATGGCGTGGCGGCGGCGGCATCCTCGTGGTGGACCTGTTTCTTCGGGCTTTGTCGTTGCAACGACGTTTGCTCCAGCGTCGGCGCGGAGCTTGGGAGGTAGTCAAGGAGCGGGTGCAGATTGTGGTCTGCATCGACGATATCTGGAAGACGGAGCATGTGCTGGGCTCGTGGTTCGTAGATGACAGATATGGTTTCCTTCTTCAGCGTTTTAGTCGTGGTGGGGGTGCCAGATCTGGAGTTCGATGGCGTGTCCGGGGGTTGCCCCGGTCTGATTCGTTCAACGGCAAGGGCTTCACTTTTGGTGAGCCACCTTGGAGGTCCACAAAGCTGCATATCAGCGATGGAGCTGCGTCGAGCTCGGGTGAAGAGGTAATTCGTTATTTTTTTCTTTGGTGGTTGCTGTGGTGGTGCCGGAGATAGGTGACGGGCGTTGGTGTAAGCTCAGAGATATTCTACTATCTTTTCAGTTTTGTCATGTTAATTTTTACGTGACTTGTACTTTGTTCGTTATGATGTGAATGGGACACATATTATCATGAAAAAAAAATTCACAGCATACAAAACATTATCCGTCTTTTTTTACCTACTTATTTTCGAGCGCACATATGTGCATGAATCACGACGCGGTTTACTCCAAGCAGAACATTTCTGCTCAATCACAGTGCACGAGGTCTCGGAAAACGCGGCGTGCTCGCTCGTATGGACCAGCGCGCGTTGTTTAATTAAAAATTAATTGGGAGAAAAGGATAAAACAAAAGAGATGCGGGCCAACATTTTACTACTCCCTACTCCACTGCCAACAAAAGCTCCACTGCCATTGTCTGCAATGGCGTCTCGGCCTTTCCCACGGGAGTCCCCTCTCTCCCGGCCTCCTAGCTCTAGCTCTCTCTCCGCCTCCGTTCAAATGGGATCCTCGCCTGCGCCTTCGCCTTCGCCTTCAACTTCGCCGCCGATGCCCATGATAGGGAGGGCCGGCAACCTCACCGTCTTCATCACGCCGCCGTCGCCGGCCAGCACCCCGCGCTCCTCGCGCCCGTCCGACTCCCCAAGGCCGGACTTCTCCACCCCTAACTCCCGCACGGGCACGGCACCGCCTCCGCCGCAGAAGAGCGCTAGCCCACCCGCGCCGCCGGTCAAGTTCTCGTCCCCTCCACCACCCGTGAAGGTGTCCCTGCCTCCTGTGCAGGTGCCCCCGCCGCAGTACGGAAAGGCTTCTGCGGGGGGCAAGCACGACGGATCGGCGTTCGGCTTCTTATGGGACGCCGTTGCGCGCGTGCAGGAAGGTGATGGGGAAAAACATTTTCGTCAACTCAATTGCATCTGAGTTTTCTCTTCACATTTCCTGGATTGCGGGTTCTGATGCGCGGGATTCTTCTGGGTTGCCGCAGCGCACACGAGCCTGGACGAGTACGTCGCCAACTGGTTCGGATTGGATCAGTCCAAGTACCAGTGGGCTCTCAACGACTACTACGATACCACCGGCAAGGTTCGTGCTTTTCGACTTCTCCTCTGCAGTTTCCCTCTAGCTTTGAGGAATCGGATTCCATGCGTGTCCACTTGGTTCCCTTTTTCATTCATGTTCTTAAATGGATCTGCAACTGCATGTGAGAACAATTTGAGATTAGAGTTTCATACTAATTTTGCAGTCTTTATAATTATGATAATTATTGTGATGAAGATTTGGTGGGTGAATTGCATTTGTGGTTGCGCTGCTCTTGTTATCAGTTGAGGTTCAAGTGTTGATTAGGTAGTGCTGGTTCCTAGTGCCTACTGCAAAACTAAAGTCAATCTCATCTTGTTATAGTATCTGTAAAGCTGGAAAAGGAAGATAGAAACACAAGGCAAGAATAGATGCCTAATCACACCTTTTAGCTCCTATAGAAGTGATGAAGAATTTCCCTGGGCACAAAATGTGCACTAGGCTTGTCATATGTCTAGAGTAGCATACTTTGAAGCTTTTGTAAAGTCGTTCCCTTGTTCTAGCTTTGAGTGCACCGGCTGTTTGAATTGATTATAGCCTCTCAGCATACTTGTGTCCGCCTTATGTTTATTCTTGACAATCATCACTGGCAAGCAGGTGAAATAACAGACCTTGTCTTTGCTGTTATGTTATTTGCATCATTCAAGTGCTCATGTCATTAATCTAATTCTACCCTTTAACCTTGAACATATGTTCAAACGCAGAAATGGCACTAGAGTGATAGGAGTTGTGATTGGGAATTGGAGAGAAACAAGCATAATACTACTAGCGTGTTACTACAGTTGAAAATAGTTGTCTTTGGTACCATACTTGATGTGTAATTAGTGTATCTATACTTAAGTTATTTCATAATTTGGCCTATATATTGCATAATTTCACATTCATAATACAATTTGGGGTTGAAGGTGGTTGGCGTTAGATTTTGTAATGGTTGAAGCATTTCTAATTGTAGGAGATGTCATCATGTTACAATAGTGATATAGCGAATTGGTAGAAGCCTTAGGTCGTTACAAATATAATATTCAGAAAGGATTTGTTGAACCTTTTACCATGGAGATAGTGTTACTATGCCCTCCAGTTCAAAAGGGTAAGTTGTAATGTAATATACTTAAAGTCTCCGTTACTATAATACTTTGAAGGCAAGACACAGTATAAATGTTTAAAAAAATATCGATAGCCAGAGTCATTTTTTCTTTTTTCCTTTCCCCCCTAATTCTAAGGGGGTGGGGCCGGGCCTTATTTTGTTCCAATAAAATCAAGCCACATATGCGGGAGCATCGATGGGCGCATGCGCGGGGAGCAGGCAAGTCTCGTTCGCCCGTATGTGGGACGGATACGGGGAGACCCGGTCGCGTTCGCCACGTCAGACTGGCCCACCCTAAACCCACAAATATGCGCCCCTAGCTGCATCCCGGACCAAACCCTAGCCACTCGACTCCACTTCCAATCCGCTTCCCCCAGCTCCTCTCCAGCATGGCGGGCAGCGGATCTGAGTCCGGCAACTCTGGATCCGACGGGCAACGGATCTGAGTCCGGCAACTCCGGATCCGTCGACTGGGACCTCGTCCCATGCAAGGAAGAGAGTTGGCTGTCCAGCTGGCTGTCCGCTGTTCTCGGGAGGAAACCCGTGCTCCGCCATCAGAGTCACTTGGTGGGAATCCATTGCATCCGCGCAAGTGGGGCTTGTATCCGGCAGCTTGGGGCGCATGACCGCGGCAGAACCGGAGGCGACGAGCAGCGGCTGGAGGTACCGGCGCGCCTAACCGGACAGCTCCGGGCTGGCAACACAACCCTTGTGGTGGAGCCTCGCCCCCGTGACGTCGGGCTCCGAGTCCAAGGTCAACGCCGTCATACGGCATGACCACTGATGCGTCAAGGAGCGGCGTGCCTGCCGTACGATGGAGAAGTTGTGCCATGCCTCAAAGGACAAGAGCGCTGATGCCCTCCATGCCCGCATCCTGGCAAAGCGGCAAGCCCAGACGGCGTGCTCTCGCATTGGAGCAAACCCGGGCACGGCCTTCCCCTCCAAAGAGTAGATCTAACTTGACCCATAGTGCATCTTCGATCGCTACTTATGCGACGAAGAGGGCAAGGGCAAGGGCAAGGGCGGCCGTGGGTGAACTTCCTCCATAGCCATAGTTTATAGCTAGTAGAACATGCCAATTTTTGGTAGTCCGATGGCATGTATGAGAACTCTCCAATGCTATGTGTGTTGATCTAGATGAAATGTGTATGCTGGTTTGAACTTTGCATGAAGATTGTATGGAATTGGGGGTTTTCGTATGAGGGGGACGGCTGTGGACGCGGACATTTGAGGGGTGACCGGGTGCTGTCCGCGGACGCATCCGGGCACTGTGACATATGGGGGGTCACATTTGTGAGTTGCGGTTGTAGATGCTATAAACTATTTATTTCTGTGGATGGGAGGGAATATGGTGCAGCATTTCTGTTTCAAAATAAAATCATCCTCAAACCTAGCTATTTTTAATATTGTCAAGGCTTAAAGAAAATTGTTGCTTAGATTAGCGGAAATGGGTATATGAAAATATATTCAATGGTGCCCTTTATTGTATCTCTTGGCACTTAGAGCATTGTAAGGCATGGTATGCTAACACATTCTTATGGATTTTGCAACTGGATTAGCTATATCTAGTGATGAATGCATGTGTGCATTCAGTTCCGGTCTAACTTCCACTGTCACACACCCCATGCCCCACGGTTCTATCTGCCCCATTGAACTTAGGTTCTGTAGCTGCAATTTAGAAGAATGCTGGATATGATTTACAGTGTAAATATTATTTGATATAAGAATAGGGTTACTTGTTTCCCATCTAGGATTCTTTTTTTTATCGACTTTATGAATGTGTTCTTCAGGGTTATCAGCCCTTGTGTGTCCAAATCATACCTCCATGCATATGCGGAAGCAACTTTTCAAGGGGTGTCACTCAGACGCCCTGTGGCTGTGGAGTTGTATTTTTTGACCCACTTGTTGCTCCACATTGAGTAAAATCTGATCATTTATTACTTGGACCAAATCAGTGAGATGCTTATTTCAATGGACAAAGGTTACATGTTGCATCTTTCTGATGTCGCTGCAGGAAGTGGAATATGGCAAAGCTGGGAAGCCAAAGGAGCTTACTACTACTACTACTACTACTAAAGTGCAGAAAGTTTAGAAGGTTGGTCCATATGGTTAAACATTCACTCCTTTTTGTTTCTCATCCTTCTTTTTTCTTTTTGCTGATCGGCTGCATGTTTAATCCTCTTGGCAGCAACTTCATTTCAGGTTGTGTGTGTAGTGAAGCGAAGTTCTATTTGTTAGATCTTGTCATTGGGGCTTCAAGAGTTTTTGCCTCTTTATCTACCTGATGAAGTAGGATCTACATTTGACACAAGGGGTACTTGGATCATGGAGAGTCTGAAGTTATTGTTTTTTGTTGGCTCCTTTCAGGGACTGCTGTAATCTGAGACGCAAATTGCGTATTTGCAGTGGCTAAATGTTGCAGTTCAACATCTTATCACATTGTCTTCCATTGCATATCGATTGCACGGCATAAATTTCCCTCATCATTTCACTTTACCCTTGCTGGGTCTGGATCCCCTCGGCGGGCGAGTGATCGGATCTCATTGCATATATTTGTCCTAAATGACCCTTTTTAGTGCTCACTTTACTTCTCTCTCCCAAAACTTATTGAGCTCCTTTTCGGTACACCCCCTCACTAAACGTATATTGGGTAGTATGGTCTTTTCACAAGAACCTATACCCATTTCTCTTTTTTTTTTTGAGAAGGAAGAACGTATACCCACTTCTGTATGGTCTTCCGGGACGAGCGGTATGTACATGTAGAAGTTTGCCCACCTGATCCGCCGGCACCGCCTTGTCTATGAGGACGTTTCTAATCGTTGACAAAAAAAGTGTCCCGGTGGCTGGGCCCCATAGGGCGGCCGTGCCAGAACACAAGGGGTAATATTTAGGCGTTGTTTGGCTAGCAGATGTTAGCCACGGGAATATATAAAACGAGTTTCTAGCTGATGTTTAGCAAAAACTGGTTTTACTAAATTTTCGGTTAATAATCAGCTCGTGAAAAACTTTGTTTGGACTAGAAAAACGCAATTCTAGTTGGCCCAGTGCCTTCTTTGGATAGCAATTAGCCATTCGTATTTCCGTCCGTAATTAGGCCAGGCTTCTTCCTTTGATCTCTGATCCCTCACCGCTGCTGGCGGCATGCATAGGCTTGACGCCACCCACGGTGACGGGACAGCCGTGACGTGGTTCGTGGCGACTCCTTCGGTGGTTGGCGGCCGGCGGATGCATGCCTTGTACGCCCACATCGCCGGTAGCTGCATCCACTGGCCCTGAATAGGCTTGACGCCGCCTACTATGACGGCAGCCAGCGGTGCCCTTCTGGCAAGCTCCTCAGCTCATATACGATGTTGCTTGCCTCCACTCAGGCCGTCATGACTGAGCACTCATGACTGAGCACGTATGGTCTGTGGAAGCCAGCGGCTGCTTCCGTCGACGCCGAGGTCGCCGCGCCTACCTCCCTTCATCGGCACCGAATCACATCTGCTAGAGTTGGCCGTCGCTGAGCGACGCTGGTCGTCCATGCTTCGTACAAAGCAACCGTGCCTAGGATTCGGGGAGAAACAGTTACAATAAGTATACGCTAATCGTGATTTGGAAAAAACGACTAATACTCGTTTTTCTATAAACCTGAAATCCTAAGTTTTAGGGATCATGGTTTGCTATATCCATGAATTTGTTGGAACAAACAAATAAGATTTTATTCTGTTAAACTGTTTCCCTGGTTTGTAGAGATCGCGTTCTCTATATTTTGCCTATCCAAACAATGCCTTAGAGTAGCTCGACGTGGTGGGGCGCGGCTGGCTATTTAAGGCGGTTGACTCGTCCCTAGTCGTGGCGAGGTGGTACTAAACCTCGGGGGTACGCGGGGCGCGTTAAGAGCATCCACAATGTATGTCATAGCCAAATCTAACATACAACGACATATGATATTGGTTCTAAATTTACTTTTAAAATGGGATCCATCGCAGAGTAAAGAAATGTCATTTCTCTCTCTTTAAAATGTATGCATCCGGTTTTCTCTCTTCGGCATGCACATGAATCGTGAGCCTTCTTAGCCATGAAGTGGAGGTAGCATGCAAAGCAAATATTGTTTATTGTCACTTTGGATTTGGCATCGGCGCTCCTAGCGTCTCTAGTTCCCTCTTTTGTCTGATTTGGCAATACCTCCACAATGTTGAGAACCTTTGCCAAAAACTATTTTAGCATTTGACACTACCATTTGGCCACACATTATGGATGCCCTAAGGCGATGCGTGTTGGGCCGGCCCAGTAAGCGCCCAAGGCATCAACATTGGGATCCGCCGGCTCCGCCTTGTCTATGAAGGCGTTTCTAGTCCTTCACAAAAAAGTGTCCCGATGGTTGGGCCCCACAGGGCGGCCATGTCAGAACACGAGGGTTAATATTTAGAGTAGATCAACGTGGTGGGGCGCGATTGGCTATTTAAGGCGGTCGACGCACCCCTCGCATGACGAGGTGGTATTAACCCTCGGTGGTATGCGGGGCGCACTAAGGTGACAGGCGCCCTAGGCTGGCCCAATAAGTGCCCGAGGCGTTAGCTTTGGGGCAACGCTCGCGAGGCTGGCGCCGGGGTGACACGTGGTTGGGCCTGACGCCGTTGGTGTTTTTCCTTTAAGAAAAGTCATTTACTGTTTTAAACCTTTTCCTTTTGTCTTTATATTTGTGTTATAATTAACTTAAAAGAACAATTCAAATTTCTATTTTAAATTGTCATCTTAAATATATTTTTCATAAAATATTTCTTTAACTTTTGACTTTATTACTTCTATTAATAACTTCAAATAACAGTTTCAAGTTACTTGTTTTTGGACATTAGTGAAATGGCCCCAGTTTTTTCTTGACCTAAGATGACCAATTCATGGCATTATGCCAAATGGTTTTGGTTTTCGTCAACTTTTGCATTTTCTAGAATTATCTCAATGAAAAAAGGTCGATAAATGGACGCATGTGTACGTTCAACCGTTGTCGAAGGTCGTTCCGAGTAGACATGGGGGCCTACCATGGGCATTACCCCCTTTTGATAAAAGTTAGGGTCATTTCTCATAAGTAAAACAAATTATGTTCAGAAGACAGTGTCCGGGTAGGCAAGAATGGTGTGTTTGGGAGCACGTCCTATTTGACATCCGTGAAATGGACCTACTTTTTTTCCCAATGTGCTTGTATGACCAAAACAAGAATCCATGCCAGATGGTTTTGGTTTTCAAGTTTTGTATTTTCTGGAATTATCTCCATGAAAAAGGCCAATAAATGGACACACATGTTGCAACGTGTAAATGGTCTTAAAAGTTGTTCAAACCAGGCATGGGGTGCATACTATGGGCTTGCCCCCTTGGTGGGAAATTTTGGGGTCTTTTCTCATAGGTAAAAAAACTTGTTCAAAATATAGTGTTCGGGTAGGCCAGAAAGATTCGTTTGTGAGCATGTTGTTTCCCAACATCCCAAAATGGCCCCAAAACTTTCCATGGACTACCATGACCAATTCATGGCACCATGCTAAGTTTTTCTTTTCACATTTGCATTTTCTAGAATTTTTTTGGAGAAAATAGTCTGATATAATGCCCACATGTGTCGCAATGTGCAAACAGTCTCAGAACTCGTTCAAACCAGACATGGATGCCTATCATGGGCATGCCCTTGATGGCAAAAGTAGGGATCATTCCTTAGATGTCCAAAAAAGATCATGTTCAACAGACAGTGTCCGGATAGATTAGAAGGATCCGTTTATGAGCACGTTGTTTTTCGACCTATGTGAAATGGCCCCAACTTTTTTCATGGACTACCATGATCAATTCATGGCACCATGCCAAGTGTTTTTTTTTACTTCTGCATTTTCTAGAATTATTATGGTGAAAATACTTGGATAAAATGCACACGCGAATCACAGTGTGCAAACTGTGTTGGCATTCGTTCAAAACAGGCATTGGTGCCTATCATGGGCATATGCTCCCTTGGTGGCAAAAGTTGGGGTCATTGCTCACATGTCCAAAAAATACCATGTTCAACACACGGTGTCCGGTCGGCTAGAAGGGTCCATTTATGAGCACGTCGTTTTCTGACATCCGTGAAATGGTCCCAAAATTTTCTCATGGACTACCATGACCAATTCATGGCACCATGCCAAGTGGTTTTGGTTTTCAGTAAGTTTTGCATTTTGTCGATTTTTTTGATAAAATAGTCTGATAAAATGCCAAACACGTGTCGCTACATGGAGACGGTGTCAGAACTCGTTAAAACTAGGCATGCATACCTATCATGAGCATTCCCCCTTGGTGGTCAAAGTTGAGGTCATTCATCATATTAAAAAAACATGTTCAACAGACGGTGTCTAGGTAGGCCAAAAGAATCCGTTTGTGAGCATGTCTTTTTTTGACATTCGTGAAATGACCCTAATTTTTCTCTATGGACTATCATGACCAATTCATGGCATCATGTCAAGTGTTTTTCTTTAACTTTGCAGTTGTTGAGTAATATGATTGTATTAGGAAACATAAGTTAGACTAGGAAATATTCTGGCTTGCCTTGTACTTCAAGTAGATCATGTACTCCTATATATATATGCCCATGAGGCTCAAGCAATACATTGAACAATTTCACCAAATCTCTTTCTCTCTTCTAACATGGTATCAGCCTAATCACAATCCAAACCCTAGCCGTCGCCGCTTCCGCACCCGCGCGCCGCCCCCGGCGCGGTTGGCCTCCATGACCGCCACCGGAGGCCGCGCCGCCTGTACCTAGGGTTCGTCCGCCGGCCGTGTTGGCCGGCTGCCCTAGAGAGTATTTTCCTCGATCCTTTGATTCGGGTTTTCTCTCTCTCACCGGTCGCTTTGATCGGAGTCTACTCTTTGGCTTTCCGATCTAAGATCGGTTTGCGTCGCCCACCGCCGCCGTTGATCCCGTGTGCCTCTACTCCAACACCGGCGCGATCGGCCGGCTTCCTCATCGACCCGGCAACCTCGCGCGTCATCTACGCGTCCGCCCGCTGGTCGCCCCGACCCGGCGGCCTCACGCGTCGTTCACGCGTCTGCCCGCCGGTTGCCCCAACCCGGCGGCCTTGCGTCATGCGGCGGCCC